CCTCCATGCAGAGCAAATGGCTTAAAATAGGATGGATCAGATCCCTGTGCTGCCTTCCCAGGGTGAACCCCGAGCAGGGGACCTCCTCCGGGCATCCTCAACATGGCAGGACACACTTCAGTTTCAGAAAATGGCTTGACATGAATTAGGGCGCCAGGTCACCCCCTGAGCACTGTGCGGGGGCTGCCACGCGTACCGGTGCCCAAGCGCTCGAGGGGACACTGTCTCAGCAGCTGCGTGATCAGGTCCTGGGCGTCCGTGGGAAGAGCCTCGTCCCCTTCTGGCCACATAATTTCATCTGCAAGGAAAAAGGAAAAGGAGTTTGGTGTGGCTGGAAGTGTTTGGACACCACAGGGGCTGTGACGATGCGAGGTTGCAGGAGAAGTCACTTCTGGACAAGAGGAAAGTCCCCCAGGAGCCACAGAAGATGAAAGCATCCTCCCAAACCAGGAGATCAAAGCTTGAGGAGCCTCCTTGCTGTTCAACCGAGTATGAAATGAAGGAATGAAGCTCTCCGCGTGTTAAGCACAAGCCATGACTGCTGGGAAGAGCGAACCAAGGAGCAAAGTTGCCGCCGACACTCACCGCTGATGACCTGCCCGAAGAGCTCCTCGGGGGTGTCTCCGAAGAAGGGGACGCAGCCCACCAGGAACTCATAGAGGATGATGCCCATGGCCCACCAGTCGACGGGCTTCCCGTAGCCCTGTATGAGGATGACTTCTGGGGCGATGTACTCTGGAGTGCCACACACCTGTGTGGAAAGCAGCGGCTGACACCTCTGCAATGACCTTTGCAACAAGTCCCGAGGCTATCCCGGTCCCCAGCAACAGCAGATCCGCCAAGCGGAGCAGGACCTTGTACCTGCTTGTCCATGAACTCCCGAGTGTCCTTCTCCATATGCCCTTCATAGAGGTTTGTGGTCATGTTCATCAAGCCGATCTTTGACAGACCAAAGTCTGTCAGCTTTATGTGGCCCATGGAGGTGATGAGCAAACTGCAAGAGAAGACAGACACCCCACGATGATGCCGTTTGCTTCTGGGGAGACCTGGGCAGGACCAGCCGGACCCCAAGACCAGAGGGTCCTGGTGCAACGGCACAGAACCAGGTCTTTGGGCACCAGAACCCATGATCTCATTCTGCCTTACCCTCTGCCTTGGATCCATCCCTCTCCCATCCCCACCCAAACCCAACCCTGTCCCTGTTCAGACCTGACCCACATCCTCACTTGTCGGGTTTGAGGTCCCGGTGGACGATGCCGTAGTTGTGGAGATACTCCAGTGCGAGAACGGTCTCAGCGAAGTACATCTTTGCCATGTCGACGGGCAGTGGGCCCATGTTCTTCAGCAATGTGGCACAATCCCCCCCTATGGGGACACGGGTCCTCCTGAGCATGGGGAGCTCAGAGAAGGCAGGGAGGTCAGCAGGCAGGGCTATGCTGCTTCTCCTGCCAAGCAGGCTCCCAGCCAGACCCTCCCACCCCTCCTTGGAGCAGCATTGATCCCTGGGCTTGGGGCACAAACACTCTCCTAGGTGAGCACAGGCACCACCTTCATCAAGGTGAGACTCAGGATCACCAAAGCATCTCCTCACGCTTCCCTCCAATCCCTGGAGCAAAGCAGGGCAGGACATGTCCGGGTGGTGTCCTCAGTGCTCAGGCATTGATATTGCCCCCTCCCTCCAGCCCCAAATCCCATTCTCACCTTCCACATACTCCATCACCATGCAGAGGTGTCGCTTCGTCTCGAAGGAGCAGAACATGCTGACCACAAAGGGGTTCTCCGCAAAGGTGAGGATGTCTCTCTCCACGAACACCTGCTGGATCTGGTTCCTCAGGATGAGGTTCTGCTTGTTGATTTTCTTCAAGGCAAAGCGCTGCCGCGTCTCCCTGTGCCTCACCAGGTACACGGCCCTAGGAGAAACGAAATGGCTGGACCTCAAAACATGTCCTCCAACCACCAGGACTGACCACGCAGCACTGCAGGGCTTGGACAGGGAGGACTTGGGAGATGTTTACAGATGGAGACAAGCATTAGGAATCTCCCAACTCACCCGTAAGCCCCATTGCTGATCAGCTTGATGGTCTCAAAGTCCCCCTCGCAGGGCTTCCTCCGAGGAGTGGTGGCCGAAGGCTGGTGCTGAAGAAGACACGGAAGGTTTTTAATGTTTCCTGGAAGGTTTTTAATGTTTCCTGGAGTGCCAGTGCTCTGACTGCAGGCAGGAATTCACCGAGCACCATCACATATCACCTCTGAGTGCTCCTCACTGCCAGAGGACATCCCTCCCTGAGCCCTCTCCAGCCACAAACCCCAAACCAGAAGACCAAGATGCTCTGCAAATCAAGAACCTACTCTGACCTCTGTCCACTCAAGAAGCCAGTTGAGGGACTGTGAGATATTATGCCTGAATACAGCAGCCACCCTTGGGGACAACCTGAGTTAACATCTCCCAGGCTAAGATAGTGGAGGAGCTGCTGCAAGGAGCTTTGGTGCGGGGTGAGGCAGGACGAAGCTGGAGGCAGTAGGTGGGACACACAGGTAGGACCACACTCACCTCACAGGCGTCATCATTCTCCGGTGTGATGGTGTTCCCGCTGTCGAAGTGATCCAGCTGGACCATTTCTGCAAAAGACAGGGATGGTTTTCACCTTGTTCATGCTCACCTCCCATCAAAATAAACCCCCAACAACCACTTTCCCTCCAAACTCAGAGAACCCGCCGGGATTTAGCCACACGCTTTGCTTGAGCTATGGAGAAATTCAGGTCATGGCGTTAAGAGGTTCAACATGAGGTTAAATGTTTATATAATTCTCTTTTTTCCATAGTCATTCCCATGTTCTTCAGGGATTATGGTTCCCCCCCAAGGCCATGGCATCCTATGGATTAAGCGTTCTTGAGCTTAATCTGCTTTGCTGAACGTGTTGGGAGCAATAATGAGGGATGTGGGGCTGGCTGGGAGACTTGGACACTCTCCTGGTCCTACTGTGACCCACCCCATGACACCAGCTCAGCCCTGCTGGTCCCCCTGCCACCTCCCAGTGCTTGTTCACCCTTGCCAGTGGCCAAACTGGGAGTCCACATCCTGCTGCAGACCTTGGGGCCACCACAACCCAAGCTGTTCCCTACCCTCCAGTGGGTCCTTGACAAGCCCCAGTTGGCTGATGATGTATCGGGGAATATCGGTCTTTATTCCCTGGCCGACTTTGGCATGTCCTTCTGCAGCTTCCAGGAGATGGTAAAACTCCTCCGGGTCAAACTCCTGGACAGGGAAAACCAAAAACAGTAGAGGAGCAAGACTTTGCAAAGTTAAGCCTTTCCTCTAAGCCTTGAAGGTGACATCTGTAACTGGGGACAGGCTCTGGATGCTTGCAGGAGAAAGCTAAATGCTCTGCTCCTGTTTCTACCATTGTTCCCAATGTAAAGGGTTGATGGAAAAAAATGAAGCCCCATGAGCTCCTTCTTCCAGCTGCAGGAATGACAGCACAAAGGCGCGTGCTTTAGAAATTCAGCACAACAGTTAAAAAAAAAAAAAAAAAAAAAGAAAATGGATGAGAAAGCTTGCCAAGAAGTTCACATCTCCCTACTCTGCTAGGAAAAACCAGCTTCTCCCCTCTGAGAAATGGCTTCAATGCTAGGAATGGTCTAAGTTCCTTGCTATAGCCTCGCCAGGATGGTGAGGAGCAGCAGTTCCCATGGTGGACCAGGCAAGGTGGTGAGAAGATGCCTTGTCTTTCATGGTCCATGTCTGACGGAAAAAAGATGGGCACAGACCATGAAAGACAAGACACATCAGGAGCTGCCATGTCTTACCAGGCACTCCAGAAGGCGAGCAGGACGGGAGATGATGATCAGCAGCTTCCTCACCAGTTGGTCAATAAACTTCACCTCCTCGCTCTCCGAACGCTCCTGAGCCTGCCAGAGAGGAGACAGAAGCCAGGCATCTATCAGTGGCCTCAGGAGATGACATCAGGCAGGGTACTGCCCCGTACTTACATCTCGGAGCATCTTCTCAAGTTTTTCCTGCAGCTCCATGAAGTAGCGGGAGGTGATGAGAGCTCCCTGGGACTTTGCCAGACAGTCGCGGGCCAGTTCGATGATCTGGTGGTGGATGAAGCCCAGCACCCCGTCTGCCAGTGGCAGAGTGCTGCTTGGAGAGAAGTTTGTGATGGTGTCCTGCAGACGGTCTTCCATTTGGGCCGTGGCCTGCAAGGCAGAATGGATGGTGATGCCTGGGAACGTGTGCCCCCATACCATGCATCGGGTTTGGCCAGCCAGGATCTCATGCAACCACCTCCTGCATTGGGTTTGGCCAGCCAGGATCTCATGCTACCACCTCCTGCATTGGGTTTGGCCAGCCAGGATCTCATGCTACCACCTCCCACAGCTCCAATATCCACGTGCACATCCTGGCCCCACCTGGGACCCAGCTTCCAGCAGGCTGGAAAAGCTCCACCAAAGTCTCCAAAGACCTCTGCATGTGTGATGATGCAGACCCACAGGTCCCTGCCTCCCCAGTTCATGACCATGTCTCCAGTGTTCTCCAACACCCCCTGGTATATCTAGCCATGCATTCTATATTCCAGCACAGAGAAGAGGTTGTTCTGAGGAAGATGCTGTCAGGATGCTGCAGAGGCACTAATGTGCTCGTCCTCCCCAGTCCCAGCAGCTACCTTGGGGAACCGCTCCTTGTAGACATGGTTCATCATCACAACCTCGTTATCAAACGTTCCACTCGTCCGTCCAGGGCTGCGGAGGGAGGAAATCAGTTGCGTTACAAAGTCCAAGTCATTTACATCTATGCAAATAGCTACTACCCCTGGAAAGCGATTTGTTCCCTCCTCCTAACTCCCAATCCCAAGCAGTTAAAGCTCATCCGAGTGGAGCCATAAGCCTTGGGCCAGCACTTCCAGCAGCATCCCTCCTACTGTGCATGGATCTGGAGATCCCCGGAACCTGGACCAGGGAAGGATAACCTCCTGCAGACCCAGGTCTCCAAACTCAAGTCACTTGAAAATCCAGAGCTGAGAGGCTGGTGCATCAGTCATTTGGCTTTGAAGAGCGAGCTCATCCTTTCCTTCCTCTGGATCCCACAATTTCTTGCCACCATTGCCCTCTTGCAGCTCACCCACAAAAAAACCCCAATCAAATGCAGTGGTGGACGTGGGGACCTTCATTAAACAAGACTTCTCTCTTACCCTCACCCAACATTGCCTCTCTCAGGCCCCCGCCTGATGATCCCGTTATGCAAAGCAAGTCGCAGGAGCAGCCAGCAACTCATTAACTGCTATATAATAAATGCGGTGATTAAAACCAGACCCAAGCTGCTCACTGCCAGCCCCAGCCCAGCCTTTGCTGTGCTGTGCCGACCGCAGAGCTGGCATCTCCTTGGTGAAAACTTTGCCACCTACAAAATCCTGTCAGATAATTAATCTGATTTTAATGAAATTTCAGCCGGCAACATGCAGGGCTATGGCTCTGCCTCCGGTGCAAGAGGGTCAGGAGCTTTTTCAGTCGGAAAAAAGGATTTAACTGAAACATCCCCTGTAAAAAGCACAAGCTCCTGGTGCTGGACGAGCGGAAATGTGACCGGCTCCTTGCACGGGACATGGTCTTGGAGCAAAAACGCGGAGCTTGGCAGGTCCGTAGGGTCAGTTCACACGATGCTATGGCCACCAGCTTGATGGTCTCTCCAAATTTTCCTCTCTCCAGCCCACAAATGCCTGGCCACCTGCGCCCCTTGGTTTTTGCAGAGGCAAAGACCAGGCTGACGCTCAGCCCCAGCAAATACAGGTAATGTTTCCTGACTCAAGCCCAGAAATGGGATTTTTAACCTTTTAAGGGCGGGTGAGCCCAGCAGCCTCCCAGCCATGCCCTGCAAGGACAGCCACCACTTGGGTGGCTCAGCGGTCCCCTTCTCTCCACTGAAACCTTTGAGACAATTGAGCAAGCTGCAAAACAACTATTTTGGAACAAATCCCACTTTCTCCAGCTTCAGCCCCAGGAAAACTCACTCTTAGGTGTCATCTGCTGCCGGGAGAGCAATGCCACATCCCAACAGCCAAGAAGATGCTGAGAACCACACCCTAATGCCCAAAATCATGGAGATCAGGATCATAGACTCATGGAATGGTTTGGGTTGGAAGGGACCTTTAAAGGCCATCTAGTCCAACCCCCCTGCAATCAGCAGGGACATCTTCAACCAGATCAGGTTGCTCAGAGCCCCGTCCAATCTGACCTGGAATATTTCCAGGGATGGGGCATCTATAACCTCAAGTCATAGCTTCTCCACTCCCCTGCAAGGGGAAATCCCATATTGGGGTCAACACCTTGGGACAGGCTTAGCAGGACCGGGATATCCCAGGAACAGCTCACGAGAGGGCAGAGGATGCGCTGGATGTGCCGGCACCCAGTGCATTGTCCCGGCAGCACCATGGGTGCTCCTCACAGCGGGTGCCGTACCTGAGGCTCCTGGATCGTGGGCGCAGGCAGGGTGAGTGCCGCCCCTCCTCGTCCATGACGCTCTCCGTGCTGCGGAAATGCTTAGAAAGGAAATGCAGCTCGTCGGGGGTGGGCTGGTACGGCAGCTGGTGCAGGCGCTCCTGGGAGGATGAGGATGACTGGAAAGAAGGACAGACATGGCGGGGATCAGAAGATGGATCCATGCTTCCCAGCAGCGGGGCGGAAACCAGCAAGCCCACGAGGAAAACATTCCTCGGAGCCTCTTAGGAGGCTGGAAACACTGATAGGCAGCACACTGTGCTCGGTAACGTGAAATACGGATGGCAAGGCCAGACCGGGGAGGTCTGCGCTGCCCACTCTCACCCCAGACCTCCCGCTCTCCCGCTCAATCCAGCTCCGCTGACCCCCCATCCCTTGTACCCACAGCATCCCAGGCGGCTCCTGCCCGGTCGTGCCCCTGCCTGGTCGGGATGTGCCCTGTGCACGCTCGACCTGCAACACACAGCGATGCTGTAACGCCCAGGGATGCTGTAACGCCCAGGGATGCTGTAAGCCATTAGCTGAGCTCCGTGGCTTGCTTAAAAGCACACTTGGAAAGCAGGATGCAGCTAAAGCACATGGTCCTCTAGGAATGCAGGGGCTGTCTGGGAACCGACGCCACGGGGCTTTGAGAGGCATTTCACCAAAAATCAAGGGGTTTGGGGTCGTCTTGCCTGCTGTCACGAGAAAGCAAATGTTACCGAGACGGTGGAGCTGGGGGTGTTGGTCCCATAGCCAGAGGAGGGTAGCGAAGCCAGTGACCACCTTCTGCCATCAGCCCTGCGAGTGCAAATGTGCCAATCACATACAGGAAGAAAACCAACATCTAAATGCAAATAAATAACGTCAGAGCGATAAGGATGGGGAAGAGGATGCAGGTTTGGCTTGAATAATAAAGCCCTGAAACCTCTTTTCGGAATGGACTGAAACTGGGTGAAGTAAGAGGGGTTTGCAGGTGACAGGGGCTGTTCTGCAACCCCGGCGTGCAGGCGCCCACGGGGACAGTGACAGTGAGCAGGGTCCCCGCAAAGGGACAGCACTGGGGCTCGGTCGGGTGGTGAATCCATTTCAGGCAGAAAAAAAACAACCTGCGAGAATCTGATTTTTAATTAGAGCAAAATTCAGCCTTCTGGGACTTTGTTCTGTGAGAAATCAGGATTCCTAAAGACCCGTCCTGAGACAACAGGCGCCACGGAGCAGAGCCCGGTTATAAACAGGAAGGCAACCGCTCATACGTAGGCGAATGCTTCCTCTTGGAGACGTTTCTAACGGATGGGGCAACGTCCAGGTCAAGAGGAGGCCCTTCACCTCCCGCCGCTGCTTCCCGTGCGGGGCCAAGGACGGCAGGAGCTGGCAGGGCGCCGGATCCGGCACCGGCCCCACCGCGTGCCCTCGCCACCGGCAGGCTCGCAAACCCCTGGCCCCACAGTTTGGCTTTTCGCTCCGTTACAAGCGTGAAAGCCATCCGCAAGCCTCCAGCTTTTTTCCATGCGACGATCGATGGGTTAAAATCAGCCGTCCACCCCCATGTGTGCAATTAACTAATTAATTAAACAGGATTTTGGCTGCATCTCAAACAGCACAGGCTGGGGAGGGGACGCAGCGAGATCTGCCTCTGCAGGAACCCGGCCGAGCATCCGTCCCCAGATATCTGCCAAGCATCTGTCGGGAGCGCTCGGAGCAGTTCCAAGCCGGGGCTGAGCTCATGGCCGGGGACGGTGTGATGGGAACAGGGATATTTCTGCTCCTGGAGCTGCAGGGAGCCCGGCCCCAGAGCAAAATCTCCCACCCAGGGATGCACACAAAGAAGGGCCATGCCGGTGCAGAGCAGACATCTCCCCGGAACACAGCCCCAGCCCGTGCCCGGTACTCGCCTGTCAGTCCGAGGAGCATGGCTGGGGTGGTGGGAGGCAGCAGTCATGGCAGAGCAAACATCAGACCACAAATCAGGGAGAAAAGAAGGAAAAAAAAAAAATCAAAACAAATCACCTGAGATCAACAGAACAGTCCCAGCTGGTGAATTATAATTATTACTATTAATGAATATTAATGGTCTGGGAGGGGAGCTGGGAGCTCACCTGCGAGCGAAGGGGAAGTTGATGGAGGTGCTGGCGGAGAAGTTGCGTGGGCTGTCCAAGGGGCTGCTCCCGGCTGCGGGGAGAAAGGGGGAAAAGTCACCCCGACACCCGCAGTGCCATGGGCTGCTCCTTCAGGGGAAAAAGTGGGTAAATCGCTTCCCAAGCTATTCCCTCCTGGAAAAGGCACCCGCGGCCAGGAGCCAGCCCACTGCTGCTAACAAGGTGCTGCAGAAGCAGAAGGGTTACCCTCCAAAATATTCAGGTAATTTTGGGAGATGCTCAACCCGTCCCCGGGGACATCCCTTACCTGTCGGCACGGAGAGGGGGGAGAGAGGCCGTGAGAGGGTCGGAGACGGGGTGCCCACCACTAAGCTCTTCCTATTGCTGCTTCGGCAACTAGGGGAGAAAAAGAGGGAATTAGTTTGGGGAAGCAAAGGATGGGCAGGGCTGGACGGGCTCGGGCACGTACGAGTCCGTTTGTACGTGATGCCATGTGCCAGGGGACACGGCTGCCATCACCCCATTGATTACAGATCTCCTGCCACAGGGAAGATCCATCCCCGGTTCAATGCTGCCGGAGACAGGCCGACGGGGTTATTTTTAATGACGAACTGTCTTGTCGAGGTCCCACTTCTGGTTTTGGCTTGCTGGGGAAGGCAGAGGCAGGCGGCCCCTTGGGCAATGCGCCGAGGGCAGGAATAGAAAAAGGGATGTAAAAGGGGGAAGCGATGGAGATGCCAAGCGGCCGCAACCCGAGCTGCTCCATCGCATGGAAAATGCCGCCGGTTCCTATAAACCTCCCTACACTCGGTGGTCCCCATGTCACAGCGGGGAGGACGGTTGGTCCCCGACCCCCTGAGACTTTGCGGTGCCGCTGGGCATTTGCGGTGGCCTGGCAGAGGTCCGGCTCCGCAGAGGTCCGGCTCCGCAGAGGTCCAGCAGGCAGCAGGAGGAAGCCCCGTGCACTGGCGCTGGGTGAAAAGCAGCACCGCACACAGGTCCATGCCGACAGCGCCGGCACCTCAACATCCCAAACACCCCAAAACTGCTATCCCAGTGCCGCACCCCAGCATCCCGCAGAGCTTCTCTGGAACAACTGGAAGACCACATCTGCAAGCACCAGGTCTCCATCTCACTGTCTCCATTCCCACCTTCCCAACTCACAAGATTTCAATCCTTCTGGCAGGAATTTCCTTTTTCCTTTCCTCTCAGCCCTTCTCCAAGCCCCGAGCCCAAGGCTGCCTTGCAAGCATGGCCCAGCCTCAAAAAGCCCACCTGCCCGCAGGGATGCTGCAGCCCCACTCCCACCGTACGCAGCCCCTTTCAACCCTGTTTAAAATATGACGGGCTCATTTAAGTTCTCTTTCACTCTCTGCAGAGAGGGAACTGCAGATAACCACAGCGCGGAGCAGAACCTGGTGCTAGCTGCCATGCAAGCATGAGGACGACCTCCCCTTTCCTCTATCTGCGCTTCCTCGGGCTGCAAATTCTGCAAAGGCGACATTGAATTTCCTTGCCAGGCTGGGAGCAGGAACCCGCTTGTATGTCACTAATTAGAGGACGTTGTTTAACATCACGCCACGGCCCGGTACACATGCAAAATCCAGAGGATGAACCCGAGGCGAGGGGATTCTCCCTGGATCCCCAAACCAGAAGCGAACGGCAGAAGTGGTATCTGGCGTGCAAAGGACGGCGTTTTGCAACGCGCCGTCCCTCCAGACGGATGTACACAGCGCCGATGCACAGCCAACCTCAGCGACACGTGGTCAGAGCTCCCCACACGTGGTCAGGCACGCGATGCCCGGCACCCCGGCACCTTCTGCTGGCATCTTCCCCCACCCGGGGCTCCTCCCGCTCCCACCATAAAACCAGGAGCCCCAACTCTTCTGCTCGAGACTGAAGGTCTTGGCCAAGCTGGCGACTGGGGAGGCTGCCTGGGGCCCCCCCAAAACCCTCCTCTGCCAGCTGCACCCTCCCTGCATCCTGGATGAGGGGTCCCTGGGTGCCCTCCTGGGGCATGTACCCCCCCGACTGCCCCGAGCTCACCCAGAGCTGCAGCGGCTTCGGAGGGCTCGGAGCCTCCTGCTCAGCACCGGCGCTGAGCCGTGGTGCTGGGGGGGAAGCAGAACCTCCCCCAACACCCATTCCCCCCTTCCCGCCCCTGCCGGGCCCCTCCATTTGGTTTGCTTTCTTAAACGCAGCCTTGAACATCGATTGCAGCACCTACAGCTGCGAGCTCACAGCCCAGCACCCACCCCTGGAGCAAGAGCAAACCACAGGCTCTCGCCACCGCCGGCTCCGTGTGACGGATGGGAAACCGAAGCACTGCGAGCGAACCCGCGCTGCCACTGAAGCGGCACGAGCAGAGGTTTGTTAACCAGGAGGGCTGCAGAGAGCAGCCAGCTTTGGTGCCGCTTCGCCGTTCGGTCCTGCCGCCGGGACCCGGGTGCATGTGCATCTGCGTCTTGCAGCGGGGGACATCCCAGGGGACAAGGGGCTCGCTCCTGCTTGCTCGGTTTCATTTTGGAAGTGAAAACAAACCTTTAACGAAGCAAGTTCCAGTAATGGTGACACAGAGGGAGGCCGACGTTTCCTGTTTCCGCGCGCTCCACCCTCGGCTCCGCAACCATCTTGCACCATTTTAACCCCCCTTCGCCTGATGCATCATCTACAGCTGGTTCCCATCCTTCACGGCACGGAAACCTCGGGCTAGAAACAAGCCTCGGGGTAGAGATGAGCTGCCGAGCCCTGAAGGCAGGAGCTAGGGTTGCTGCCCTCTCTGCCTCCATCACTTAATTGCACATTCGGTACCAAAAATGGAGTGGAAAATTGCCGTCAGCATCTCCCGCGCTGCTCGTGCTGAGGCTGCCTCGACCTCGGCGCTGCCGTTGCCATCCAGCACTGATTTCAAAGGATGCGGAAAGTGTATGACAGCCGGTGTGACCCTGAAGCCTGGAGCAAAATAATGTGTCACCCGTCCCAAGGCTGCCTGCCAGGAGGAACCGGCACCTCCCACCGCCTGCCGGCACCTGCACCGGCACCCAGCCTTGGCACGGCACGGCCGGGATGCCCACAGGCAGGAGATGGAGCAAAATCCGGCAGCTTCCCGCAGGCTGCCTCCTCGGAGCTGTGGGAAGGGCAGGATCCGGCTGCGCAGCACAGCGCTGATGTTTCTATCCAGCAAACGGCTCCGCCAGGATCTGGGCGAGCGGCGTTGGGTGGCAAGGAGTCAGCACCGTGCAATAGCGAGGGTCACGCTAAACCACCCGGCCGTAGGCAGGGCCGTCGCTGGGAAACGCGTGGAGGGACCGCAGCATCCTGGTCCTCTCCCGCAGGATCCGACCTCTAAAACTTCCCAGGATGGTAGAGTGTCGTCCGTCAGATGCCAGCCCAGTGCTGGGCACTGCCGGGCGGTGAATACCAGGCAGAAAGCCCGCGGTTTGGGGCAAAGCGGGTGCAGGCTGGTGGGAGCAGCGCGGCTGCGAGGGCAGGGTCAGGCCGATAAGGGAGCAGGCGCAGTCTCAAAGTACAAGCGGGCGGCTCCGCTCCCGGCCGCGTGATTAAGAGCATGAGCCGGCGCTCCCGGCTCCCTTCTTCATGTGGCTGTGGATAACTTTTTTCCTCCATATCCCCGAAAAGGGCTCAAGGCACTCACGTGCCTGGAGATTTGGGGAAGTGCTGTGGATCACCACGTCCTGGAAAAATCTCTTTCCAGTGGGATAAGTTTGTGTTTAAAGTTGAAA